CAGTTCAAGCATCATACTTCAAACTAGATTAAATCACCGACAGAGTAGATTATCTGCCGGACAGGCAAAGAGAAAAGGAAATTTATCAGCTCGAAGGAGTTATTTCGGTATGACAGTAATAATAAAACTAACCAACTGCTTAACAAGAAATTAAAAAGACATCTACTAGATAGAAACGCATCATCAGATCTTAGGATTTCGAAAATTAGTATCAAAGTTAACCAAGGATAATTTTAAACCATTCCACATGCATTCACATGTCTGGACTAAAATCATATAAGGCAACATGACAAGTCTCACCGAAGCTGGCTTATCACGAGTTCAACAAAAATTTCAAAAGGAATTTCAATTAGAATTATTCATCGCACCTGTGCAAGGCCTTTGACAACATCAAGCATTTCAAATTATAGTCGTAAATTTGCGATTTTATATCAGCGCTGAATCTGCGCCAAGAATATTTATAGAAAATGTTTGAAATCAAAACCAAAAAGCGATCACTTATAACAGTTTCATTTTGTGTGTTGATTGGGTTTTTGACCGCGCAAAATTAGACAGAATTTTCTACTTTATTGACTATCGTCTAAAAATACGCACCCACAATATCACTTATTAGTCTAGCTGGGTCGATAATAAATGCCTCCATCATTCTCCAACGGACCGTTTTGATTTCTTTACAAACAACGGCTTTCTATCAATCAGAAGAAAGTTGTCCAAAGTCCGCCATGTTTTTGTTGGCGGGGGAGCGAGGGGGGAGGAGGTCACATGCACAGCAAAAATGAAAAGACTGGGTGCTAATAGTTTGTTTTCTTCCCAGACTGCCCTGCATGTTCCAAAAAATTCAAAATGGCGGAAAACCGAACAAAAAGAATTTTCCGGAAAAATACATCCTTGTCACCGTAATTCGCCAGAAAAGGACTTTGATTACGTTGTATTGAGCATGAAGTGTTGTATAAATGATTTGAGGTTGATAGTGTTTTCCTTAACCGTTGTGTAATTGGTCATTGGTCGAGGTTAAGTGAATCGGAAAATGGCGAGCTGCAGCCCAAATTCAGCTGATTCTTCTGAATCCCATGTAATGTCGATATTCAAAATGACAAAAGGTTCTGCCATGCTCAAGGTCAAACGGCATGTAAGTATTTATCGTTGTAGTTACCTAAGTTAGACATATTGCACGTCAATGAGACGGGACAATTTACGATCGATAAGTTTACTGTCGCATTTCCTTGAATTATTAAGCGCCCGGGCGCTAATTTAAAATTTTGGCTTGAAGGAGGGGTGCTTACTGAAAGAAGGGTGTCTAATCGATGGAGGCACCTGTTAAGAAATTATTGACCGGTACTGATTTCGTTTTAGGTGAAGCTTAAAAAGTATTAGATAAAGGCTAGTACAGTGGCAGTATAGAAACAGGGTTTACTTGTATCCCTATTTTAGAAAGTGAGGGAGGAGCGGGGAAGGGGGGCACCCATTTGAGGGAGGCCATTGGTTTGATATTATTGCCAAGGGGGGTGGTGGACTGTTAAGGGGCGGGTTTTTATTAGAGCATGAGCACTTATTTGAGGAAATATGGTATAATTATCATGAATTAACAGGCTGTGGAGTAGCGCACCAAACTTTTTCCAGATTTCATAAATAATCTCCCTTCTTCAACATGATAGAGGGGAAAAGTGAAATAATTCCACAGGACTGAAAAATTAATTGATAAATATCTTGAGACTTTATTGCCCTTAACTTTGCTACATTACTAAAACA